ATATAGAAAAAAATGTTGCAGGAAGGGTGGTTATGTCTTTGGATGGAATAAGTACGGAGCGGGCCCACATCGGGAGGCTCGGCTTAAATTTAAAATGTGGAACTTGGCTGGGCGACCAGCTAATGGTCGAATCTTTGATGAGATGTCGGAGGCGAGGAGACATTTTAAAGCCAAATTGAAATGGTGTCAGACTAGCCAAGAGCAATTTGAAATGGATATCCTTGCATCGAACCACTCATCTAAGGATTTTAAATTTTTTTGGAAACAAACAAAAAAAAAAATGAACATTCGGTCTAGCCTCCCTATGAGTGTCGGTGGTTGCGCTGACCACAAGGACATTGCCGAGGCTTTTAGAGAGCACTTTACTGTGCGGTCTCCCTTGGGTCCCACGTCTGGTGAGGTGAGCGATGGTGAGCCCATTGTGATGGGGCGGAATATAAAGATATCTGCAAAGAGTGTGGCTAACATTATTCAAAAAATGCAGCGTGGAAAATCACCTGGTCACGATGGGCTTAGTATCGAGCATCTTAAGTATGCGGGGGTTCATCTGCCCCAGGTACTGTCTATGTTTTACAGCCTGTGCATAGGTCACTCGTATTTGCCGGAGCCGCTTATGCGGACAATAGTCGTTCCTATAGTTAAAAACAAGACGGGAGATACATCTGATATAGGTAACTACCGGCCTATCTCGCTCGCTACCACAACAGCCAAGGTGCTTGACAGTTTGCTGAATAGTAGCCTCAACGAACAGGTTGAGGTGCACGATGCACAGTTCGGTTTCAGAGCAGGGGTCTCAACAGAGAGCGCTATTCTGAGTATGAAGCGAAAAAATGGTCGGCTGCCATATTGACGGAACCTGTGTTAATAATATAAGCTATGCAGACGATATGGTGCTGCTCAGTCCATCGATAAGTGGCTTGAAGAGGTTGATATCGATCTGTGAGGCCTATGCGGCGGAGTATGGCTTGATATACAACTCGAAAAAGAGTGTTCTACTCATATTTAAAGCGCCTAATCAGCAATCACGTATTGTTCCGCCCATAAGTCTCAACGCCGTAGCACTAAACACTGTAAATAGTTTTAGGTACCTGGGCCACATTGTCACGACCGACCTAAGGGACGATGGAGACATAGAGAGGGAACGCAGGGCATTGTCTGTGAGGAGCAATATGCTTGCCCGCAGGTTTGCTCGTTGTGGCGAGGATGTCAAAGTAACCCTTTTTAGGGCGTTTTGTCAGTCTTTCTACGCGAGCGGCCTGTGGGTGTCATACACGCGACGGGCGTACAATGTCCTGCGTGTTCAATATAATAATGCGTTCAGAATGCTGTTGGGGCTGCCGCAGCGCTGTAGCGCATCAGGTATGTTCGCGGAGGCTCGCATAGATTATTTCTACGCAATATGCGAAAGAAAGCGGCTTCCTTACTCCAGCGCCTACATGACAGTGACAACAGCTTTCTGAAAATGATCGCTGCCAGACCGGACCGCCCATTCCAGAAACAATTTGTGGGGACAGTCATAGGTCTATACAAATAGTTAATTTAAGTAAAAAATGTAATTACTAATAATACTAACCTATCAACTTAAGCACTATTGTTACTAACACTAAAATACTAACATAAATATGGACCATAAGTCTGAAATAAACGTTATTATTATTATTATTATATTACTATCTTGCTTTTTTTTTCAATTTGGTCTTAACGGTTCTTGACAACTTGTTTTCTTTCGTTGCTCGAAATATGGAAGGGCCCGATTAAATTATTTAATTGATTTTTAAGAAATGTGTATGATTGGTGTTAGCTATTTTTATGTTTTGAACAACAAGTTGTGATATAACGAGAAAACTGTAATTTAATTTAATTTGTAACTACTACTCAACTTACAATTGCATATTATACTCGTACATACTGATGATACTCGTACATTCATGCAGTTGAGTTTTTTTTTAATTATTTTGTAGCTGGATGGTCCCCCATAATAATTGCAATCAAGCCTTTAGGTGTAATGAGTAATTTAAATTTATTAGCTAAAAAATTATAATATACTTAAAGGGTGCGTCCATTGGTAGTTTTCTTATGGTTCCTACTCCAATGAAAATACACTTTGTACTTGTTCTTCAAGAGTAGCACTCACTGCACTACGTCACACTAACTTAACTAAACACCAAAAAAGGCTTAGGGTTCTTTAGTCTTAATGATATATTCGTATCGTTGGAATATTCACTTATTCTCGTCTGGTAGGATGAGCCTGATTTAGATTTCTGAGATATTATGTTTTTATTTAGATTAATTATGCGTGTTCTGTTCAGTATGTACCCTGCTTTACAATATCAGTTTCGTCACATTGATTCTCCATTTCTTTACTTATCAGTTTGTTAACAAATGGCAAATGTAAATTTTTTCTGAGTATGACCTTTAAAGTGAAGTCAGATTTCCAGATTTCGATTCATACTTTTAGAAAGTGGGCAATATTTTGAAAAATAAATATTGGCACATAACAGACATAAGATTTTTAACATTACGACACTAGTTAGCCCAGACCAAGCGGCGGTAGCCTAGTGGTTAAGGCGTTGGACTTGCGATCAAGAGATCGTGGGGTCAAATCCTGACCAGTACACAACCAACGTGAACCCACTCCTAACACAAGCAATTTAGCTTAGCGGGAGGGGTTAACGGGAATACTAGTAATTTCGGTTGCTAGTAGTAAAATAATTTCTTTTTAGACTAGTTGAGAAAGGAATAGGAAAATGTGAAAGTGTGGGAACTTAGACGCTTCTATATTTGAAGTGTATTTGGTCAGGCAGAAAGACACGAAAGAGATGATCCTGATCCTGGTGAATGAAATTATTTTGTTATGTTATTGATTGAATCCTAACAAAACAATTATAATCTGTCTTCTAGTAGGTATTGATTAGAAAATAGATTGTCTAAGTAGTAGTCCTAATTTAGTAGTTTATAAGACGTTAACAAAATATCCAAGTTCCTATCGTTGAGGTCAAGCGAGGTTGTATAAAATTCAGAGCTACTATATTGGTATATTCAATAATGATGGTAGACAAATACATATTTACTTAAAGTCAGTATGTTTTTAACATGATGTCATTAGTTCCTTAAGACTTTGGACTTGTCAACAACAGTGTTTTTATACGTGTAATAGCATTTATAACATTTGGGACGGTGAGCACTTGTTTTATTACCATATTTAATGATGGTTGATTGAACATTAGCGTATAAAATACGATCCAACAAACATTGATTTCAATATATTACATTATTGATGCATATCCTTTAAACTGTAAGTAATTAAATCAATTATAAAAAGGCTATTAATGAAAAATGCATTTTATGCAAATTAAATACCTTTTAATATATTATGATGAAAACAATAAGATAATACTGGTTAGTTACTTCCAAAAGGTTTCGGAAGCTATATATACCATTAGTCCAGTCAATGAAAGCTTAACTTTGCCATTTTGAGTTGATCACCTGCAACCAAATTTCCGTAAGGGTTCGGCGATTAATATACCTACTAAAATTGCAGGGCAAAGGGTGCAAAAAAATTGCAAAATGGTGCAAAAACGACTTTTTCGTCAATATCTCGCGACTGGCTAGGAAAATAAAAAAGATTCCTACTACAAAGTTGTGGAAAATTAAATTTTCTACAAAAAAGGTATCAACGGTACGCGAAAATACGTTGATACCTTTTTTGTTTGTTTTTGTTTTTTTGTACAAAATGCATTTAAAGGTGCAACATTTTAATTATTTTTTTTATTTATTGTTGATCATTTTTTTTTCATTCTAAAACGATCCTACATGCTTCATTGGGATTTAATTAATATGTTTCGGGCATTTTTTTATTTATTTATTCCTTTTTTCATATAATAATCTTGACAAAAAAAAATATTTCAATTTTATTTTATGATAATTTAATTTTACCTTTTTTTACCGGATTCAACGCAAAATTTGCTTTTAAAACGTTTATAACCTATCCATTTACCTGAGCTATTATAAATTTCATTTCAGGGGGACATTTTTGTTACAGACTCGGCTGCATAAGAAACAGACCACATTTGTTCTAGCCCACTTTCAGCCATGATTGATCCAATAGCCCCTAAATATGACATTAAGCGATGAAAACCACCTAGACGTACTATTACATTTTCGTATTTTGATTGTCCTTGATGTAATTGAGCCACAATATTTCGGGCTTTTAGATATAGCGGTTGATCAAATGTTACAAATGTTGTTTTTTTATTTATTGAGTGAGTTTCTGTTGCAGCATAATGTAGATGTGATATTACGACGATATATTATTATGACGATGGTGATATTAGAGGTGAAATGTCTATACATAGTTTTCTAGGATCTGCATATGTAATGTTTTTTAATCCAGAAGGCCCTCTGTCATCATAAATCTCATCGGTGACATCTGTTGTAGATGCTAATTGTGCTGCAGAAGGCATTTTTTTACATTTGATTGGAGTTCCTTCATATGCTTGCTGGTGTATACACTGCTGTGCCTCATAAACAATGAAAAGTCTCCTGACCATCTAAGGTGCTTACATTATGGTCAGTATTATCACAGACATATTGAACGAAAGCATCATTAATAATAGTCTTCTGAGGATAAATAATTGATAAAGCTTCATGAAGCTGAATATTATGTTATGATGTGCAAACACCCAGTTTACTTAGTAGATTGATAACTAACTTCGATCCTGTTTTGCAATAAATGTATGTTCCAACAGCTAGTTGAAGACACGATATGAAGGATTTAGGACGAAGTGCTGAAATAATACTATGGGCAATAGTATCTATTTTTAAGATAACAGGACATTCATCATCACACGATATTTTCATCATTTAATAATAATTTATGTAAAAACAAGTTAATAGTGGAGGTATTTCTGATACAATGTTATCAAGGAGTTTGTCCGGTTTTGGATAACTTTTTGTTTCGTAACGAGTTTTCTTTATTTCGTCCTGTAAAATTAATCATATTAATCATATTGACACATACTGATGATTGTTTTCTTAGCCATTTCACTGAGGTCCTCACTCTTACCATACCAATCACTACAATTTTTTGCAAATTCATAGTATTTGTAGTATATCAATGTTTCTTTACCTTGCTTACGGAAGATAAAAATATCACCACCATATTTTTTTTTCAAATGTCGAAGCAAAGTACGCTTTTCTATTTTGCTATTATTATCTTCACTCATTAGTGATTTTAAAGATGAAAGCTGGAATTTGAATTCACCTCTGTTTTCGATTATGATTACATATCTTATCAAATTTCTTATCATTTTTTTCTTGCAATATGGTGCCATGAAGCTTTTAAAGCAAGCTGTAGGATATCGTGCTTTTAAATCTGTAAGCGATCTAGTCGTTTGCAATCGTGGAATAATTTCTCCAAAATCATTTTTGCGTTCGGCAGCAATAGCAACAATACGATCTTTCAGACTGTTGTCTTGTACAATAATACCAGGTTCATGACTACGATCCCAATTTTTTTCACATAGAAAGCATAATTCATCGAATCTAAAATTACTTTCACAGGATGGTGTAGGAAACCTTGAAAGTGATGTGGAGGAATCAGCTGGACACTCACGATTGTATTGCAGGATCACTCGAAGTCGATGGTTCATCAAATGATGATGATAACACTTGAGATTGTCCCCTTCGTGATACTGGCTTGGATGAAGATGAACCATATCGTTTTCGGTACTTATCATGAAAACGATACTCTTCATGATTTATCCATTGCTTCCATTTATTATCATCTTTTTCTTGACTTTTATATTGTGGATAGGTAATGCATACTGCAAATATACGTTTTAAACGTAAATTTTGCGCTGAATCCGACAAAATAAAAAAAAGGTAAAATTAAATTATCACATAATAAAATTGAAGCCAGAAATATATTAATTAAATCCCAGTGAAGAATGTAGGATAGTTTTAAAATGGAAAAAAATGATTAACAATATATAAAAAAAAAAAATTTGCACCTTTAAATGCATTTTGTGCAAAAACTATGTGAGATACGCGAAAATACGTTGATACCTTTTTTATAGGCAATTTAATTTTCTACAACTTTGTACAAAGATTTTTTTCTATTTTCAAAGCCAGTCGCGAGATATTGACGAGAAAGTCGTTTTTGCACCATTTTGAAATGTTTTACACCCTTTGCCGTCAATGCAGCACCCTGCAAATTTAGTATATTAATCTACGAACCCTTGCGGAAATTTTTGCGTTGGTTGCAGGTAGTCAACTCAAAATGGCAAAGTTAAGCTTTCATTGACTGGACTACATGTAGAAACAAAATACTTACAAAAGTATAATTTCGTTGACTTGCTTATTGTTGAAAGAGTCAGATTTGCTTTACAAATTAATGACAATTAATTTAATGTATTTTTTTATTAGGCTGTTCTTATTCTTTAGGTTAACAGGTGGAAGGTGCTACATTTCAAATAAAAAAAATTAGGATGTTTAATATTGTTGATTTTATTACAAAACAATGAGTTTAATACGATCCATAGAATAATAATACAGAATCATCATCATCATCAACAGCCTATAATAGTTCACTGCTAAACATAGACCTCTCCTTAGAAATAAGGTTCTGGGTTCGAGTCAAGAGGAATACTGAATAAACTTCATTAATTTTTAATTGTAAAATTTACGTTTCTTTTTAATTAGCTAGACAAGTTTTAAAACTGTATAAAATACCGCATATATTTAAAAACTATAGGAATCACGAACGTGATGGTCAATTGAGATTATTATCTAAACGTGGTTTTGTAGAGGAATTAAAACGCGTCTCAGTAATATTTACCTTCGATGGAAAATTACGATAATGACATTAACTACAATTTCATTGACTGTCAATACCTGTTTTTTAGCTTATCTTAAAAAAAACTTAAAATCTTCTAGGTAAAGTCTTGAATATGTTATAGATTTTAATTGAATAGAAACTGACTGACGACTGAAAATACACATAATTCAACAATGTTAGCAGACAAAGCCTAGGTAGCCATTAGATTGAAAACTTTTTGGGGTACACAACATCTTGGATTTTTTCCTAATGGGAGAGGTGCTACAATATTTACACCCCAACGCTATTCAGTACTCGTAACAACGTAGAGCGGACACTGCATTAGAATTACAAATACACAAATTAAAATAACAACAATTTTATTCTGGAAAATGCGGTATTTCAATAAAAACTATAGCGAGAAATATTATTTTTAATGTGTATCGTAAAGTACTAGGCGAAGAAAGTCTCTTTAATGTGTTTTTTAAAATGAAAACGCTATCCTTGATTTTTAGAGCATATGAAAGAGATAACCGGTAAGTTGGAGAGAGTGATATTGATACTTTTAGTCCTTTTATTCATATAATTTTCACTTCTTTACACGGTTCCTGTAGGAGGACAAACGAGTACGGTTTTCGTAAGGCACGGTATTACGAGTAGTTGAATTAATATCGTACGGAGAATCGTCAGCTAAGGTACATTGAATGATGTCATATTTCCAACGCAGTGAACGTAGTTTAGGATGGGCCAGTAATAATTTAATACAATTTGAAAAGTTTTTATTAAGAGTTGTTCAGGAGTAAGGTTAAATAATTCGAAATCATGTGAAAAAAAAATTCAACAGTGATGAAACTAGCACAAAACTTTCGACCTATCCCTATTGACTTTAATCATGAGGTACTTGCTTAAAATTCTATATGAGAGAAGATATAGTCATAATAAGTGGATATTTTGTTTCTGATATATGAATATGAAATGAATAATAAATTCTTTCAATGTCAAACATAAGGTAAAGGTCAGTTTTTTAAGCATAGTAATTGTACGGGATTAACTTGGACGAGACAAAACATATTTTGGTCTTTACCTATTTAGTTGGCGATTTGTATGAAAATTTGAAACACAAAATGTTGGTTATTTTTTTATTTTAGCTAATAAAAGTATTGGCTCAAATTATCTATACCTACAATTTTGCCGTTTTGAAGGCAGTTCATTTATTGCTTTAAAAGTAAAAATAACAAAATAAAATATAACAGCTATAAACGTTATTACTACATATTTAATATTGTATAGGTAAGGTGTGGAGACCGATTAAGAATACGGAATGTCACCACCTCTATTTATCCCGTGGGTGTCGTAAGAGTCGACTAAGGGAGCAAACTACGCAGGAAAACAGCACTGCAAAGAGAATAAAAACTTGAAACAAACCCTTATATCAACCCGTCTGGCCAGCGTGGTATAGTAGGCCAAAACCTCCTTTCTAAGGAGAGGCCCATGTCCAGCAGTGGACTGTTATAAGCTGTTGATGATGATGATGAAGGTGCGCCTGGACAGTTTATTACCAAATTTTTGTCTGTTAAAAACTTAAATTTACCTATAATTAAAACGCATGGAACTGTCGACGGAACTAAAAAATAATATGAAAGTATACATATAATGCTCAAAAACCAATTAGTTATATATGGATAAACACTAAACATTTAAATTAAAAAAAAAATCGTCAAGGGCATTTCATCCAACTTCCTTGGCATATTTAACCACGAATGTTGTTGATAGAACTATTTAGATTACGATCAAGCGGAATAAACAAGCGCATATTTAAGCACGAAATAACCGTGCATGGAAGCGACATTAAAATTTGCATATTTTTTTTAATAATTGTCAGATTACCTATTGTTTCGTAAATGTTGTGTTTGGCTATTTGTATGTTTAAATATATTTTTTATATTTATTTTATTCATTATGACACCCATACCTACTGATTCGTCACTATCTCACCAGACGCTGTGTGACGATAAGGTTAACGATAGAGCACGAAACACTTACAATCTAATCTAACATGGAAAAATTTCTCAAACATAACGTTTGGAATGCACTAATTGAAATTTCATCTCAGTCAATTGATTAATCACATTCGAAAAATTAATCCAAACCTTCCACAAACCATGATTTTGGTTTTTAAAATCCTGAAATACCTACTACCCCATTCATGAATATAAATGATATTCAGTTTTTAAAATGTAAAAGCAGTTTTCTTAATATTCATACCGCATTATTGGGAAAAATTTGCGGGCCTGTTGGTTTAGTGGTTAGTGACTCTGACTGCTAAGCCGGAGGGCCCACGACAGGTTCGATTCTCACCTAGAACAAATATTGTGTGATGAGCACGGTCATTTGTGCTGTATCTGGGTGTAATTTATCTATAATATGTATGTATTTCAAAATATTTACCATAGTACAGGCTCTGCCTAGTTTGGGATCAGACTGCCCTGAGTGAGATGTGTGAAGTTATTATTATAAATACCTTCATCAACAGCCTTTACTAGACCACTGCTGGATATATATCTCTCCTTTGGCTTACTAGGGGGCCAGTGGTTATAGTACTATTGAAGTTTTGCTTCTCTTTGTGGTTGCTTTTGTCCTGCGTAGTTTGCTCCCTTAGTCGGCTCTTCCGACACCCACGGGATAAATAGGGATGTTGACACTCTGTATTCTTATTCCGTCACCACACGGATAATAAATAACTTATTTATAAGGTATTACAATCACTTGATGTCTCTGGCCCAGGGGCCTCTAGACAGACCTCTTCAAGCTACGGCTTTTCCTGTCCGTTTCATATCCGAGAATTGCCCTATCCATTTTCTTTAGTCACCTTTTTCATTTGAATAAAATAAAAAAAACTATAAATGGTGGTATAATAAAAAAAAAACGAATTGTAGATAATTTGAGAGTGTACTTAGATTTAAAACACATAACTTACTTTTGCTTATATATAGAATTTGTCTTTCAATTGAGCCGTTGAGTTATTCCTTGGGAACATTACTATTATTTTAGCTGAAAGGTGTCAAAAGCATGACAATGGTATGCTAAATTTCATAATGATTGGTTAGGTGAACAATCAAACAAACAAAGTCACATGTAAAACTTACAAATTTGAAAATTTGAGACTCGTTACAGATGGCAATGTTTATTTAACACTTTATTGAGAGGGGATTGTATTTTCTCGTGCCTTTGCTATGAAATTCCAGTCCTTGATATCATATTGATATAATACTAGTACCTACGTTCTTCACCAAGAAGATAAATATTTTTAAGCTACATACGTGGCAAATCAAGTTTTTTTTTTAAGATTTGAATGTATTTTGTGAGTAAATTATATAATTTTACTACTAGATCTCAAGAAATGAAAACATAACCACGGCAATAAAATAATTTCTAATAATATCAACAATAAGTTTAACATTCTATATAATTAAACAAAACTAACGAATAATAATAATATTTCGGACATCTGACACACAACGCCATTTAGTTTTAAACTAAGCAGAGCTTGTACTATGAAAACTAGATGATGAATGATTATTATGATAATTTGTATAAATCTAGATAATAATATCAACAATTAACTTTTGATCATGGACTTTTAACTTATTTGCGCTTTTTGGTTTAATCGGTGTTTTAGATTACGGTTTGAAACGTTTAATTTAATTTTTAGGTGACCCTTCTATACCAAAGAAACATCATACTTAGAATAAATTATTGGAAAACAGTATAAATTACAATAACCTGAATATCGAAGATCCACAAACGAATATTAAAATAAAGCAATGGCACCCTTACTAACACCCCTAGTGCTTGAATACAAATTTACATTAGAACAAAAAACAAATTTCCTGAACAATACCTTCATTCGAAATAATTTATAACCTTCGTCTTAAGCTA